ATATCCAGTCTCCTCACTTTCATTCTCCTAGATTCTTCAGAGCTGTCTCTGTCAATTTGTTTACTTCTAGTTTATTTTTAAAAGACAAACCCCCAATGGACATAAGCTCTCAAGTCCCTTTTGAAAATGCTGTCTTCTCCATAAGTGCTTTGTTTGTGATCCTCTCCAATCCTTTAGGCTATTGTTTACAAGCTGGAAGGCATCTGCACTTGGGCTAATCACGCCGAATGCCAGCAATTCCCCCAGCATGATTTGTTGCACAAGCCAGTGGGAGCAGGGTTTGTTTTGATTACGTTTAGTGTGGAAAACCCACATTTTGCTCACATCAGCCTGACAAAACAGGGAGGCCTAATCCAAAATCTTCAGAGAAGAACAATAATCTGCTCATTGATTTCAGTGGCATTTGGGACCAGCTCAAAGACTGAGGGCTCTGATGGCAAGGGTGGTGTCTTAGGAAAGCAGGTAGCTCAGGAGGCAAGTCATTTGCTCTGGGATGGATAAACCTGGCAGCCTGCCTAGTGCTTTGCTTCTCAAAGCTCTGTGGCTCCTTTCTGACATGCAGTTAGTCAGGCTGGGAGCCCCCAGCTCTGCCCCCACCAGCCATCACCTCGGGCTGATGCTGGCCTCCCCCAGTGCCCTCAGCTGACAATTCAGACTCCTTCACTCATTCTGAATGATGGCAATGTTTTTATGCTCAGCCTGTGCTGACGCTTGCCTCCAGGCATCAGATGGGTGTCCTAATTTTTCTCCTTGTGAAAGCTGGGAAGAAGCGCCCTAGGGCTGCTCCCTTTGGGGCTCCCTTTTCTGCTGGGGCACGCAACTGCACTGCAGGGGTGGGTGTACAGGTCTGCCAGGTGCAGACCCCTCTGTCTCCAGAGGCTCAGCACAGTTCTGGGAGCTCAGCACAGCTGTCCCTCACCAAGCCACTGGCCCAGCTGGCCTGGGCTGCCCCCTGTGCTGCTGAGCCTCAGGCTGAGCCTAGGCTGGCTTGTTCCTACACTCCTGCCATAGCAGAGGTCTGCTCTACAAGGCACAGAACTCAAAAGATCCACCTGGATCCTGCCTCTCCCCTATTTTCGGACGCTGCTTTTCCTCCTCCAGAGGTGCTCCATCAATCACCATTAATCCCTTTTTGTACCCACAGAGGTTAGCCTTGCTGGTGGCCTGTGGCAGAGATTTCCACAGCTTAAACTACTATATGTCACATGAAGAAATGTCTCCTTTTGAGTCTTGAAGTATTTAATCAGACTTCTCCCTGGATTTTTAAGAAAACACATGGTCACCTACTCCATGGCATTTAGGCTTTACTGATCTCTGTCTCAGACCTCAGCCATCTCTTTTCTGGCTGAAGAGTCCTACTATCGAGCCAGCCTTTGCACATGAAGTGTTTGGAAGTACTTTGCTTTGCCTGAATCAAAACCGCAGCTCCGCCAGCCCCAGCTGAGATCAGAAGGCAGCAGGAGCCTGCCAAAACCCAGGCAGCTCTGCAGGGAGGCATTGGGAGTTTCACAGCAACTCTGCCACATCTCCCTCTCCCTCTGACACCTGCTTTCTCTCTGAAGGCTGCCCTCAATAGCCCGGCCTTTGCACCAGGGAATGACACAGGGCAGACAGAAAGTTCCAGTGTGTGCAGTTTTAACTGTACAGATGCCAAACATCTAAGGAGCTGGGGCAAAACTAACTCAGTAAGACAAAGCCATTCCCCTAAGCAAGGTGTGCTGTAAATTAAGGGATTTTGCACAACAATGACACAAATCCACATTTTCAGAGGGACATCAGGGTAAGGGTCAAAACTGAGATCCTGTGTGTATACAGCCTTTATTTTGAAGCCTGACTACTTAAGAGTTCATTTCCCAATCTCTGAAGATGACAAAATAAATTTTTAAAGTGTTTTTGTACAAACTTATGTCTTTTGGTGAATCCTCATCCCTAACGACATACAGACCCGTATGTCAGAGGTAATCAAGTATTATTACAAGAGCTGATGGCTGTGGGGCCCCTCCTAAGCACATACATGGGTACATATGGAAGTTATTAGCAAGTTCCAGTGAAGAATTTTGGGAAATTAACCCTTGGGGCCCCAGAACACTACCAACAGACAGCTAGTTGGGAGCAGACAAAGAGCAGTTTCCTGCTGAATGCTTGCAGCATACTGGGACTGAGATCCAGGCCCTTCACAGCATGGTAGAGGAAGCCCCTCTTGCAAGCACTAAACTTTTCAACTTCTGCTGTTAGGAAGAACACTTGAAAAAAACCATCTGCAAAGCTTGTGTAAGTTTCCTCGACAAAGTGAAATGAGTCAGCTGGAGAAATGTATAACATAACATATAAAAATGCAAACAATTTTCTTCTAGTCCCGAAATGGTGCTCAAGAGGTTGTGAGGAAGTTTGCAATTTCTTTTTAAGTTCCCTTAGGAGCCATCAAAAGAAACATTTGGATACAGACCACCAGGAGCTACTCCTACGTGACAGAGGAACCCATTCAGAGGCAGGGTCATTAAAGTGAACATCTCCCACTCTAATGAAAGCAGCAGGATAGTGTTACCCCATAGAAATAAATTCTTACCCTTTTGTTTTGTACATCTTTTTCCTCAAGACCTGAAAGAAAAAGGTTTCTCTTCCAACATCCAAGCAGAGAATGAAGGATTCTAATGCTTGCCTCAGCCAATGCACTTTTCACTTTCCTGTTCTTTCTACATTGATTTCCTTTCTTGCACCAATCCTGATCTGCAGAGTGACCTCTCCTTGGGAATAATGAGGATACTCACACATGATGTGCTTTCAACTTCCACAATATAACAATGCTTGGCAGTAATTCACTGCTTTTCATCCACAGATCTCAAATCAATTCGCTGCAGCCCTGCATGGAATTGACTTACTTGTAAGACTGAGACAAGTGCTTGCTGTGCAATTAAAAAAAAAAAAAAAAAAAATCTAAAAAAAAAAAAAAAAAAAAAAAAAAAAAAGAGGAACAAAATAAAGTAGACTTTATTAAAATCCAAACTATTTCCTTCTCCCATGGTGTGATTTTCCTAAAGCACAATCCAGGGCACAAATAAGGCTCCTCTGCAGCTCCCAGCTAAACAACCCAAGATGCTCATATGCGGCCAAATGAGAACAGTTCACAGCCAGGTCAGAGCAATACCATCAGAAAGCTCTTCCCTCAGTGAGGTATAACTGTGGCCAGAAAACAGAAGCATTCCTGTGCTCAGTTCTAAACATGGAAGAAATTATACTGCTCCTTCACCCCCCTGCTTTCTGAAGGGAAGGCAGGAAGGGAGCCAAGGCACCTCAGCAGATACCTTCAAGAAAGCAAAGGATCAAGGGGTGGACATGATGCCTCGGCCAATAGATCCAGTCCCACTCTTCCATGGCAGACAGGGAGGGCAGCTGTGTGGCTGACTCTGCTGAGGCAGGGGCTTCACCCAAGAGCCCGGGAATGGTCCCAGAGGTGCCCAGAGCCACCTGAGATGCTGACAGCAAGCAACACTATGCCCACATGTCAGCCACCCCAGTGCACACACCCTGTGGGAAGGAACAATCCCAGCTCCTGCTTTTGCACTGGGCTGAGAGACGCAGTAGCTGCAGGGCCACCAAGCTGCCTCTGGCCTCCCTGCAGCTGGAAGGAGCATGCAGCAAGGACAAGATCACCACTTCCCTGACATTTACCTAACTACTCTAGTTGATAAGCCAATGCCCTGAGACAGGCAGCCAGACACCTCACCACCAGCAGAGCAACAAAGCCCTCCACAGAATAATTCAGAGCGCCTAAACTCGGCTCCTGTGATGAATCACAGCCTGTATCTCCCTCTGTGCTGACCACACACTTCAGTTCCTCAGATAAAACAGCTGAAGACAATAGAGCAAATTCAGTGTACTCTCTTCCCCTGTTCAGCTTTGAACAGGTCTGAAGAGGAAAGTCAGCATGAGCAAAGCAGGCTGCCTGCCCAGCTATGGATCTTTAGCAGCAGTTTGGCTCAAATTTTAGAGTATCTGAATTTCTTCTTTCATGTAGCTTTTTTCAATCACTTATTTTGAAGACATCATATTGACTATCCCTGAAATGAACCATGACCTTATTTAAGCCAACTGTGTTCCTCCCATTTGTACTAATACTCACCAGTTAAGTTCACTGATGCTGTGCCCTGTTCCAAGATCTTGAATTACTAATTTTTTTTCAAACACTCAGTACAAACTTTAAGGTACTAAAAAAACTTCCTAAAAATGTAGGGCTGAGATTTGCAGAAGTATTCTCTGTTTAGAAAATTCTTCACTACATTACACTACCAGATAAGTTTAAGTTTAATGTTCCCAGCTAGGACCACTCATTTATGCTCTGCTTTTATTCTTGATGAGAAATTCCTTTATTCCGTTTCAGTTTGATTGCCAAGCCTGGGCACTAAACTAACTGGGCTTCCAACATTACAAGGGAATGAAGTTATCACCATGTATTCACTGACTTTTAAAAATCAATATAAAAATTTTATTAAAATTTTAGAAGTTTTATATAAAAAATTCCTTGCCTTTCAGAGGCAAAACCAAAACATCTTCTGATGCTCGACAGATGGCAGCAGCACACTATCACATGAGCTTAAGAAAGGGTGCAGGATCCCATCTCTTCACACCCTCCCAGGGCAGATACAACTCTCCAGGGTTATCTCTGCAGGAATGCCATGCCCTTAAGAACAGCATAACCCCATCTTCACTCTCAAAAATCCAATCAAATAAAGCAATGCAAAAGCCAGTGAAGCTGCATGTATTGTACATGGCTGCAATGGTTTCACTTGGTGCAAACACCGGCCTCTGAAGTGACAGGCATCACATTCGTGCTTCAAGGAGTGAAATGTGCTCTTGCTCCACCACAGCTTCGTGGGTCAGCACAAGGGTCATGCCCATCGATGTCCAAGCTGCACTGCTGTGGGACTGGACTCAGCTGCATTCCACCGGGCAGATTTGAGGCAGAAATGAGCTCAAGCACTTTGGGGTACAAGAGAACACAGGGTTGACCTGGGAGGATGGGCAGCTCACCTTTTTCTGAAGCTTTTAAGTTATAAATGGAGCAAAGAGCAGGACTTGGCAGCAGTGGCAATGCTTGCTCTTTAGGTCTGGCTTTATCCCAGGCATGTCTGGGAAAGTAACACTCACTGTGTATGTATGAGGACACATCTGTCACAGCCACTGGATTCAAGCTCTGCTCCCTCTGCCCTCCCCCTTCCTCTCCCAGCAGCCAGTTCAGCATCACTGGTGTGGCACACACCCCACCAGCACAGACATAAAAGAGGAATCTCCTTTCATCTCCCATATGCATGGCATCATCTCCTAGCCCAGGACAGAGAGGGGCTGGGGCCAATGCTCCCCTCTGACCCTCCCCTTTCATCCAGGGGCGAGAACACCTCTTCCCTCAGACACATTCCCAAGGAGCCCTCCAGCCTTGCTCTGTCTTCTGTCGTGGCACTGGCAGGGAGGCTCCGGCAGCACAATTCCCGCAGCGTGGGCACTGCCCGGCGGCTCCGGCACAAGGGCTCAGAGAAGATCAGGGGAGTTCCACCCATCTCATCAAAGTGCAAGGGGTTGTTCCGGGTCCCTGCCACCACCAGCTCCAGCAGCCGGACCACACAGTCTGAAAACCAGTTCTTGAGGCGGAAATAGCCCTCCTGGAAAGAGATTCGAAGGCTGACGGGCCCCGTGGGCATCCGCACGCTCAGGCTGAACAAGCAGTTCCCCTGCGAGCTGTCCCGCACCAAGTAGGTGCCTACAGGCTCTCGCTGGAGCTTGGCGTGAGCCTCCCCCACAGACAAGGGGCCCCAGTAGAAGTCACTGGCCTGGAGGATATTGAGGGATCGCTCCAGGACTTCCCACTCGCAGCTGCGAAACATCCGGAAACGATCGGGCAAGCCGGGTGGCGCGGGGCTGGGGAGAACGCTCCGATGCCGCCTTTGCAGACGAGAAACAGTGGTGTGTGTGTTGTGCAGGTCATCTGGCCTCCCTCTGATCATCTCTCAAAGAGCCCATGAATCCTGGAAAGATGCTGCCTTTACCATGCTTCCTCCTTTGCATCCAGCCTGTGGGACAGAAGGAGAGTGAGGCAAACCCAATAACTTCTTCAACCTGGGCAAGATGCTTCCCAAGGGAGACAGACCAGCAAGAGTACCACAGAGGGCACCAAGGAGCTATTGCATGTCACCAACCCCCAGCTGCAGTGGAAACCAAGGATATATGTGTGGAAAGGGCTCCAGCTGGGTCCCCACCAGCAGAAGGTGGCACTTTACAGAGCTCTGCATACCTTGGGGTTCTGTGATTCACAGCCAGAGGCTCCTGCACACCCTCCAGCAGGCTACTTTGAACCCAGCAGATCTCAACATTTCAAGATTTCCCTCTGCCAGACATTTGGGACTTTTCAGAGTGGCCTTGAGATTGGAAAGGTGAAACGACACCACATATCAAAAGGGAAAGATTTCTTAAAGGAGGAAAGTATCATTTATTTTGTCATTCAGTGAAAGTTAGAAAGGTTTCCTCACACTTCTCCAACCCTTTATCCAATAAAAAGATTGACAACAGGACTTAGCAAAAGCAGAAGACAGGTATGAGCCTTTCTCACCAAATCCCAGGAACCACTCCCTTATCCCAAGACATGCCTGTTTCACTATGTCAGGAGAAAGCAAAGGTCTCGGATCAAGCCCCCTTCAAGAAATGTCACGCCAATTTCAAGGCTGAGGCTACATTGAATGAGTTCACTTAACACTGGTACCAGGCACTGCTGATGCCGTTCCAGACTCTTAACTTCTGTTTCTTCCAGAAGGACAACTCCCCCTGCCTGCAGACAATGATGCCCTCTCCTAGTCACCATCCTCTAATGTACTGTCATGACCCTGCTCATCTCCTCCACCTTGTGTTATCACCCGGCTATTCTTAGAAATGCAAATTTCTGAATCCAGCGTTGCCATCAGCCATCCAAGTCACTTCAATCATATTAAAAAAATACATATTCTAAATGTGTGTGTCTGTATAGGCACAAATTAAAAAACTAAAGCCCTAAGCCAGAGGCTCATTCTGTGTGAGAAGCTGAGCTGTAACATACCACTTCCCCAGGCCTGACAAGTCAGTAGCTTGCTGCCAAATGCTGCCCTCGCTCCCTTGACATACTCCATTAACCCAGTCATACTCACTCACAGCACAGCCATGTTTAGAGCAGAACAGAGTGCTGGCACAGCCTGCAGCAGAGGAAGAGACACATTTCATCTCTAGCAGTCCCCCTCCACCACCCCCACCACACACTTGCCAGAGCATCAAGGCTCAGGGCTCGTATCGGGCAGGCAGCCCCCCAGGGAATGTGCAGGGACCCGTGCTGGGCTTGCTTTGCAGGGAGAGCTTCAAGTTAAACTTAGCTCCTTGCAAGGTTCCTCTGTCTCACACCCTTTGCCAGCTATTCAAAAACCTCACATTGCTTTTGGTGCTCATGCCAGCTGGGTGGCCATGCTGGTGGCCACACTCTGTGCCCCGGGAGAGGACAAACATCTTTCCTTCACAGGGGCACAGTAGTTAGGGAGAGCAGGCACAGGCCTGGCATTGCCTTACTACAATTATCTTTTCTAGTCTAACATCTCTCTCAATACTTAACAGTAATAATGTAGCTGCCAGGCACTTTTCATATATGAAGCCATAAGCATCCTTTCCAAGAGCAGCCTGGGAACCCTGTAATTTGCAGTCCACAACCTGCTAATGTCCCTGGTACTGTTCTCAGTGCTGTTGATTCTGCCCTCTAGGTAGTTTCATAGTAGGAGGGAAATTCCATGCTTAGAGAAAGGTGGGAGGGGTAGGAAGGAGTTAATCAAGTTGGGTTTTTTCTTTTCCATTAAAAAAAAAAAAAAAAGGCAGCAGTTGAAAGCTGCTCAGACCATTCAGCAAGTCAGAATAAATCTTAGGTGAAGGTGATTTAGCAAGCAGGATGCAAACAAACACAGCAACAAGGGCCATCTATCACCACTGAAAACTCAGCACAGAAGGCACCACAGGGAGTTGCAGCATCTCTGTCCCTCTGCTTCTCTCTGCTGGGTGAGGAAGCTATAGGGCTCTCTGACATTAGCTCCTATAGAAAACAAAGGTAATCTGCCAGGTGCCTCCACGGCTGTGGCTAAAACTTAAAAAGGAGTGATAAAGACCCTTTTTAAACAGCAATTTTTCTTGGGTCCAAATGGAAATGTTGCTAATTTCATGGGTCGAGGTTGGAAATTTAATTCAAGCACAAAAACAGAAGCAGGCAGCTGTCTTTCAATTCCAGTTTAGTTTTAAAAATAACAACAAATATATAATTTGTTTAAGGCTGCAGATTCTATTTGACAGAAAAAAAAACCCAAACTGGTTTGTCCCAGTTTTCAACCTTTAGTCATTCACCCGAGTCCTTTAAGAAAAATCCACTGCTACTAGAAATCTGACTGACTAAGAACTGAGACTGTCATAATGTCAAATTCAAAGTAAATGCAAAAATAGCACCTTGACAATTTGTTCACTTGGTTTGAAATCTACATATAGGTCAGAGCCTCAGACAAGGTGGGGGGGTGTATTTGTTTAGCTTCAGTGACCCACTTCCAAGAGGTAAGTGCCTGGCCTGCAGCACAGCATTAGTTACAGTAATATTAGCCCTAGAAGTGCTTCCTGATACTACCTTTAAGGTTCACTTTAAATGGGTCAACAGGTCCTAGGCATACATGGCCTCCCACATCAAGGAGGATGTACATACCCAGGATTAGGAATAAACCAAGTCAGGGCATGGCTTGGTTTTGACACATGCATAATTAGTTCTGCTGACTTGTCACACCATGATTTGCTTTCCCTCTTTTCCCCTCCAAAAAAACCCAAAAAACCCCAATGCCCAAACAAGTTACTACCTCCCTACTGCAAGTCAGAACAATGCTTGCAGCCAAAGCAACATACCCTAAAAAGCTGGTGTCCTGCTAATTAAAAGGCTGGATAAGTTTCCCCAGAATTTCTGATTTACTGCAAGTTCAAGAGCTTTTCAAAAGAAGTGCTCTTGACACAGGGCATTCTGCTTTTCTCCTCACTCACGACCCAGACAAGGCAGTGTGTTTTATATAAGGAGACAATTCTAGTTCACCAGGGGACTGGACAGTGTGTGGTGTCAGCCAAGCCAGCACTGCACCCTGGGGCTTGACAAATCTGGCATGTTCAACATCTGCCTAAAGTACTCAGCTACGATGTAGCCTCACACTCTTCTTCTAGGACACTAGAAAAAGCTTACCTCTTTGTCTTTGCCACCCATGGGGATGAGTTTCTGAATGTCAGGACTGGAAGTGGTCCAAATTCAAAAGCTCTGATGCAGCGCTTCCCAGTTTTTGCACAGCTTTACTTAAGAGCAAATCCATCCTTTGAAAAGACAAAGACGTTCATCAAGCAGATGACTAAGCCCATTAGTTTGCTGCAATGTGGATCTAAAATACAACAAATCTGGGGACAGGTTGTTTGTCTCTATCTCTTTGATCTGTGTTACTGTAGAAACATATATACAGCACTTCAGATAGCAACAGAGACAGCAGATTGTTGCTGTTGTTGTTATTATTGCTATTTACAAAGCCATGAGCTGATTTGGTCCAGGCAGCTCACAGGTGGCCCAAGGACAAGTGGAAAGTTCATAAAGTTGCCATCATCTTCTGGACACAGGAACCATAAAACCCAAATGTTAAGAGATGATGGCAACAGAAATAAACCTAAGGATTCAGAACAGCAAAGTCCCAACTTCTACTGAATACAAACCACAACATTTGGAGTATCTAATTTGACACCACACAGGTATCCAGTCACTGTAACCCAATTGTGACCCAATCTGTTCTGGCCCACAGTCTTCTGCCCTGCTTCCCAAGCTCTCATGACTTTTCCTCCTCACCTTGCAGATGGAAAGGTAAACCCACTGACCTGACGGACCAGCAGACCACCACATGTGCAATCACGTGTCTGTCCGTGGATTCATCAGCAGCTGAAAAGACGATCCCATCTTTCTGCATGCCTTTCAGAGGCAGGCCCTGCACAGCTTCACTTGTACCCACATAACATCACTTCTCTGCATCCTCCCCAGCCCAGTCCGAAGTGGGCACACACCCCACAAGCTACACTGACTTGTCACTAGCAAAACTGCAGGTCGATCCATTATTACACTATCCCATAAATGCTCCATTTGGCTTTGACATCTCCCAGATATCAACCCTGCAGTTCCCAGAGCAGTTAGATGGAGGCTGGGATAATTAGGAAAAGCTCTCCCTAATGTACCCTGCAGGACTTTGCAACAGTGTCTCTACTCCAGGCAGCAGAGCCGGAGCAGACATCGCTTGTTTGCACGTCTGCATCCCACAGAAATGTGCTGCCTACTGATTTGTGGCTGGGAAAGCTGTTTCAAAGGAAAGCTTGAGCAAAGGGCTGGAAGAAACCTCCCTGCTAAGAGCCAAGCACGCAGCACTGGGTTTTAATGGCAGGCCAGCCTGGTTCTCAGGCCGCCACCGCCTGCCACACACCAGCACTGGTTTGAATTGCGCCGCTGCCACCAGGGCACGGTCACACCAAAGCCCCTTGCCATGAGCACCCTGCACAGCCAAGGAGACCAGGGCTGATCCACAAAGGGATCACAGAAGGGGAAGGGAAAGGAGATGCACAGACAGACATACCAAAGAGGACTGAGGGAGCTGTGGTTAGAGGAGGAATGTGGCCCAGCTCAGCCAAGAGAACCAGTGTTAATCACAGCCAATTTCTCCAGCACAAAGCAGACCTCGGAGACATTGCTGTTCCCTCTATCTTTTTATGCCATGGCAGTTTGATGTGAGGGTGCCATTATGTCTGACACATGAGAGAATATGTAGGAAAAAAACCAAACCACACCACACATACATACCCCAAACCAAAACTGCATTTCCCCATACAATCAGCATCCAAGGATGCAACATTTAATAAAATAAGCTGAGGCAGCACACACACTGTGGAAGTTCATATTTTGCACAGCAGAGACAGTGCAGGAAGATCCTGCATGCAGGCTCTGGGAATCAGCAGCTGGACACCTTGCAAGAACACTTGTCTTATCAAACACCTCCTGACATTCGGAGTCTGGAGAACATATTTCAAAACTCACAAATAACTTCGTTATTAATTAATTTTAATCTGATATTGTTTGGTATTTTTTTAACCCACCAATAACTTTATTATTAATTAATTTTAATCTGATATTAATGTTTGGTAATTTTTAACATATTTTTCTATGACGTGTTTTCTGAATTAACATGGTACTTTGCTGATGGGGTTGAATAGTTTTTACTCCAAGAAAACCTACAAGACAGTGTGATGTGTGCCAAATACTCTTCAAGGCAATGAAGTCTGCAAGCACTTTGGTTTCTCCATAACACACATTAATAAAAACCCATCAAGGTGGCAGTTTAAAGGAAAAACTAATTGTCTTTACTGGAGTAATTGAAGGAGCTGAAAGAAAGACATCCATTTTTAGGGTCCTCTCTTCAAGCCTTGCTAATACTATGCACTTTCAGAAATACTTTCAAAAAAAAGAGCCTTTTCCTCATCTAAATAGCCCAATGTGAAACTGTAATCCTGCCATTTCAGAACAGAGAAGGCTCATCACTTCCCTGAACGCAGAGGCTGCTCTGCAGTAGCCACAAGCAACTACAGCTTATTTCACAGCAAGTAAAACTACCAAAACTACCATCTGATTTCTGCCAAAGACATCTTCTACCAAAGATTGAATTATTTCTGCTTTCTCCTGTAACTGGGGAAACAAGAAGGAATAAAAAATAGAAAAAGGAAATCAGGAGGAGTTACTACTAAGTTCCAAAGCTGCAGCTGAGCCTATCCTGCTATGGCTTAAGCAAAGAGAGTTGTTGCTTGACTCTGGCCAACAGCATTTTTGGTAAGTGAGGGAAGCCCAGTCGCGTTGCTCCTGACCTTTGCAGCTTCACAGCGAGCAGCCATTCCTGTGAATGTTAGTGCTGCACAGCTACACAAAACTTCAGCCCTGTGCTTGGTCAGGGAACACAAAATCTGTGCTGCTGCTTTGCCATCCCTCCCTCCACACCACACACCAGCTCAGGAAGCAGCCCTCTGGAAAGGTGGCTGGAGCTCTCCCCACTTTGGAGCAGAAACAAGGAGACAGGGAGAGGGCACAAGGAGGAAGAAGAAAGAAGCCAAGATAACAGCAGTCCCTCATGTCTCCCTGCTTGAAATGCTCTGTCCCATCTCCCTGCTGAGAGAGGGATCAGTGGGAAGGGGGTAGCGCTGCCCAGGGCTGCCTCCAACCCATCATGGCTCCTCAGCATTACCAGCTTCCCCCACCCCCAGAGCAGCAGCACAGGTACATTTCCTCTGCCTCTCTCTACTAAACTGACTTTGTTCCAGAACCCCGTTTGAGGAAATGAGTAAATCCTGAGACACAAAGGCCACCAGTGGTCCCTGTGACAACCACGGCTTTTTATCAAAACCATCACACTGAGCCGGAAAGGAATTCAAAGAAGCAGCTAACTCTGAGAAATTAGCAGTGTCTGCAGCTAAAGCTGGTTCAGAATCCTTACCAGAACTATGCTGCTAGAGGAGTCCCAGATGATTAACCAACAGGAGCACAGGGGGACAAGGAAAACACCCTGCCTTGAGTCTTCAGGAGGACCAGCTTCAAAAGATGTGAGGGGCCATTATGCAGCACCAGTTACTGTGCCTTCAGAGCAAAGGGCAAGGGTCAGAAAGCACAGACACACCACAACACTAAGTTTTATAGCGGGGGATTTCCAGCACACAAAATAAAGAAACTAGTCCTGAGAGTCAAAAGTAAAAAGAATTTTAAAAAAAATTAAGTCATGAAAAGTTATTTAGGAAATCTTAAGTGACAGAGTGTGCAGACCTCCTACAAATGACAGCACAGAGATGCTGCCTGGCTAAGAGGACAGGCCTGGGGGACAACTGCAGGCATCAGCTGTAGGTGCAACTGCTGGCAAGGGCTTCTGCTGTGGATCAGAGACATCAAATACACATACTACAAAACCACAGTCCCCATTCAAATATCTCTACAACCTCAATAATCCTTCAGAAAATGAAAAAATAATCCTGGAGGAGCCAATATAAAGGAATATAAATTATTGACAGTAGGGAACAAATTTATATGAGGACAGCTGTCATGAAATGGGGACAGTAGGTGGCCAAGATAAACTAAACAAAACCCAGAAAACATATGGCATTTTCAGTTTTATCAAAAACAGAAAACCTCGGGGGGAATAATTTAGTTGAATAGAATACCAACTAGTGGGGACAGGGACACTGCAGAAAAGTTATACAAGCAAGCAGGTATTATTTTTTTCTTGCACAGGATGTTGAAATTTCCCAGTATTTAATGCCGATTAACCTGAAAGGAAAAAAGAGGGTGCTCTATCAGAAGAGACAGGGAAAGGTTCATTAAAGCAGAAAGCCAGCTGGGCATAGCGGACTGTACCTGGAGATTTGGAATTGGAAATGGACAGCTGAGATACAAAGAGAGGTGTTCTCTCAAGCACATCAGCTACACTAGCAATTGCCAGAAGGCTGCAAGTATTGGAAGGAACTTCTTTTGACTTGTGCTGCTAAGGCAGGAGCGGCACAAGGCTACCTGGTGTGGGGGAGAGCCAACCCCCAGGCAGAGTTTCCCATCAGGCAGATGGCACCTGAAGAAGCAACAGATGAGAGGACACACTTTGTGCTTCCCCAAAGCAAGTCAAAAAGCAAGACATGGTACACAAGCTAAAGAGCCAGAGCATGCCAGGACCTGTAACAGCAGATGGGCAGAAGACATGGAGCAGTCATGCCACAGGGTGAATGGGAGATGGAAGAGGGGTGGCCAGAGGAAACCAAGGCATTTCAGCCCCTGCACATCTGGTCACCTCTCTGCCACCCTCCCAGCCACTACATCTTCCCTCTGGTTTGATTCAGCCCACTTTGCAGAGCATCCCACCTCACTGTTCAACAGGCTGGTGGGTACAAACAGCCCAAAGGCTCCCCCATCTGTTACACAAGCAGCTCCCTCCCCCCTGACTGTGCAAACTTACATGTTGACCCAGGTCTCTTCCTAGAATTGTCTCTCCATCTTCAAGCTGTCATTACCCACAACACCTCAAACCCCCATGGCCTAACCTTGCTCCCCAGCAGGCAGCTCACAGCCTCGTGGTACGTAAATCTAGGCAGCCAACTCAAAACACAGTGAGCCCTCTCCATCGTCTTCCCAGGGTAAACAGTGACAAAATCACTTCACTCCCCGCATGACAGAGAAGT